GCGGCGGCGACGAGCAGCCTCTCCTCCTGCCGCGTAGGTTCAGGAAGCACCGGGCGTGGATGGAGCTGAAGAAGCTGTGGAAAGCCAACGCCAAGGTCAAGGGTTTCGTGGCGGAGAAAGTGAGGGGAGGCTACACGGTTGCGATCGCCGGCTACCTTGCTTTTTTCCCCGGTCGGCAGGTTCTAAATAGGAGGTTGCTGAATGATAGGTTCATCATCGAGAGCATTAGTCCCAAGAGTATTATTGTTGCCAAAGCCGGCTGATATTGCTCATTAGCCTCGGCTGACTATAGGTTGCAATTGTAGTTTGAGGGAGATTCTCCGGTATGGTATCCGAATTATCTTCTGCTCTACTTGGTTATGCTTTATAGAAAATAAATAATAAAGGCCTTTTGGTTCTTTCATTGTTAGATATTCGTTTTTTTCTGTAAATACAGTTTTGATTATTAGCTCTCTGCAGTGTAGTAAAGGGATGATTCATGCTTTTGGAGAATAAAATCGTGTTTGTTTGCACATTTTGATCTTTTAATGTCTTCTAGAATGAATCTGATTTGGTGGTTGTAAATTACAGATGTGCCTGATTTGTTACTTTACATGCTAGTGTGCGCGTTCAGAATGGTGTGTGGTGTGGTGTATTGTGTTTATATCTACGATGTGTTGTTTGGGTTGAAGTTTTTTATTTGGGTTGAAGCTTTTTAGTGGTTTATCATTCGAACTGGGAAATCTTTTTTTTTGCTGTATTTCAATTTTCAATCCAGTGCCTAATTTAAAAGTTTCAACTTAAGTTAGAACTATGAAAGGATTTCTTGGTGCGCATTCGCTGGAGAGAGCCCCTTAAATCTCAAGAATGTAGGTATTGGTAAATTGATTTGTGCAGATTTCTGTCTTACAATTTGCTTTCTTGTATCTACAGCTATTAAATGAAATGAGTCGCTTTTAAGCTCGGCTCAGCTTGTTTAATGTTCGCTAAGTTAACGAGAAGCGTATTAAGGCTCGAAATTAGGATTTTTATGTAATTTTTTGTACTTCCAGTTCGTTAAGGCTTGAGTGCGGCTCATTAGTATTAATAAATGAGCTTAGCTCGAACTCGTTTTGTTAATGAGCCAGCTTATCTCTGCTCGATAAGAGGCTCGTGCCCGAGCTTGAGTGTCAGGAGCATGACATAAGCTTGGCTCGTTTATACCTCTACATGTACCCTGTTGCCTGAGAAACAATTTTATTGGGTGTGGGCTTACTACGATTGATGATTCATTGCTTTGGGCTTAAATATATATGATAATATGTGCCTGATGTCTGGGCCTACGATCTTTTGTAACATACTAGGCAGTTTCATTTTTTATAATCTTATTCTTATGTAGTTGAATAGAGTTAGGTTGCATGATCATTATCATAGTTTGACCAAGGAGATGCAATCATACTTCTTCAAGTGCGATTAAGTTTGGATGTGAAATTCTTAGGCTAAAATATTCCAATTCTTTCGATTTTGAACAGAACATCATGAACATATATAACTGATGGTTTGGAACAAAATTCATGTTCCTTATAGAGACAATTTTTTTTTTTTTTA